TTAAAGAGTCTATTGAAAATACTCTTAGCATCTCTATAGCCCTGTTTTCTGAAAAAGCTCATGATTTTTCAATAGCAAACTTGTCGAGACTAGCCATCAATAACACGTATGTCAATTGTTACAAATTTCTCTTTCGAATTTTGTCTTGCGAGAATCAAGTTAAACATTGCTTCTATTTTTCTTGATAATACACTTCAAGTAAAATTATTGAGTCATTTTTCATTTTTCCCGTTGAACTCACTAGACAAGCCCGTAGGGATGGCAACGGAGCGAATCGAGGGTAGGTCGACCATTCCCGTCCATTGCCCCGTCGGGTATTTTTGTCACCTTATTACGCCTCTATACCTGGTCAAGGCAAGGTGGTGTGGCTTAGGTTGAGATTGAAGGTTAGTCGAGGCCCATGCCATGTTTATTCTTTTTTTTTCTTTCTTTCTTAAATTTTTTTCTTTTTTGCTTTTATTTATTTTGTCTTTAGTTGGTAAAAATTATCACCTTTTTTTTCAATATGTTAAGAATAACTCATGTTCCCTTTAAAAAGAATGACAATTCTTTTCTTTTTTATTTGATTAAAAACTTAAATTTGAAATAAGCTTTAAATAGAGCGGATAGTGAGGAGGAGACTATGTTTCTCATACATGTTCCGTACCCGTTTCGGGGTAATGACCCTCGTCCTGCCCTACCCCCAATCTCATTTACCTGATTAGCCAGGTAATCATCACACCTTTCAGGACGACACCTATTGAGTTTAACCCCTTTTTTTGTCATCCCTACATGCCTCTTGTTGGTATTCGAGTAAAGCCCATTTCTGAAATAGGTAACCCTTATACAAAGTTTATCATAATATGGTATCATGAGTTATACCAGTTACAATCATGATACATGTATACAAGGGCGGACCCAGGATTATTCTTCAGGGGGGGGGAGTGGGTGAGACATAATGACTAAAAAATAATTTTAAACAATAAAGATAATATTCAAAATGTAATACATTTTTTACAATTGTTCCTTACGACTTCTCATACTTTGAAAACGCCGTATAATAATCTCGTTAGTAATTTCATCAAATACATCTTTTTCAACGTACACAACTACACTATCATTCATCCATTGGTCTCCAATCTCATTACGCAGTCGATTCTTCACAATAGTCATAGCAGAAAATATTCTTTCAAGTATAGCAGTAGCAACTGGAAGTGTTAATCCTAACGTCACAAGCATGTAAACTAACGGATATACTTTATTTCTTTTGGTTACAACCAGGGACGGACCAATTAAGGGCCCAGTGGGGGCAAGGAAGTGTTAATCCTAAAGTCACTATCATTTAAACTAACGGATACACTTTATTTCTTTTGGTCACAACCAGGGGCGAACCCATTAAGGGTCCAATGGGGGCAACTAATTTTTTGCATTGAAAAAGGTCCATTTATAACCCAACCCCAAGTCTTTTAACATTTAAAAAAATGGCGCAATTCATTTCCCCTTAA